CTTTAATGAACAGTACATGCCATATTTGCCTCCGTCTCTAACTGAGGGCCAGAGGGCTTGTTTTAGCGTTGTCACAAAAAACCGTCTCCAACCGAGGGCCAAAGGGTCATAGGACCCAACATAATTTATTGTTTAAGTTTCATGTTGTATAATTTTTATGGTGATTAATGTTATTTAATGTTATTTAATGTTATTTCATATTGTTTAATGTTGTATAATGGCTTAGGAGTTATAGGAAAAAAATAGAATTAAAAAAAAATATGAAACAAATTTTGTGAAATAGAAGTTATAGGAAAAAAAAATGGAATTTAAAAAAAATATGAAATAAATTTTGTAAAATAGAAGTTATACGAAAAAAAATATGAACCAAATTTTGTAAAATATAAGTTATAAGAAGTCGCACTTGGTGCGATGGCAAGTGCCTTCGCCCATGAGCGGTAGGTCTCGGGTTCGAGACTTGGGAGCAGCCTCTCCATAAATGGGGGTAAGGCTAGCCGACATTCACCTCTCCCAGACCTTGCGTAAAGCGGGAGCCTTGTGCACTGGGTACGACCTTTTTTTTATAAGTTATAAAAAAAAGTTATAGAAAGTTATAGAAAAAAAAAGGTTTAAATTTATAAAAACAAAAAAAAAATTGAATACAACGGCTAGTGACTGGCTAGCCGTTGGAATTCAAATTAGTGTCGGTTTTAACCAACACTGTTCAAACTGCTATTATATTAACATTGCTATTAGTGTCGGTTATAACCGACACTAATAATATAGTATATATTATTTCTGTCGGCTATAACTGACAGAAATAACAAAACATTAAAAAAAAATGGCCAGCCTTCCAACCCTCTCCGATTTTGTGGGGCCCTCCTAGATTTCAAAGCCCTCTGGCCTAGCCCTCGGTTGGAGACGGTTTTCAGGCTATTTTTGGCCCTTTGGCCCTCTGGACCATTCAGTTGGAGATGACCTAAATAAACACAACTACAGTAAATGAATCTTAAATAGATCGGAAAGTGAGTTGTTAAATATAGAGGCTCATTGCCACTTAATACTATAATCTAGTGATATTCTTCTTCAGTGAGAGGTTTTAAGTTTGATTATCGTCAAAGGCGAATTTGAACCACATTATTGCTAGCTCATTGTGAGGCTAAGCTCACCCTCTCCCCTCAGTATAAATAATATCTATTGTTAAAAAATAGATATATAGGCTCATCGGATATATAATGTATATACTCACATATAGAGACTGTATTATGACATAACCTTAAGTGAAAAACAGAGCCCACAACCTTGTTTTAAGCTTTTAATGATTTTAATTAATTAAAAAAATCTAAAATGTGCACCTAATTAAACGATGACATAAAATCATAAAAACTTCAAATTTAGGGATTATACTATAAATACTCTCTCCATATTCCTTTAAGCATAAAAAAAAAAATTTCTTCAAATTTTTAAATGAATACTCAAAAATGGTGATGAGAGTCGGTAAATAGGGAATTCGAATGAAGATGCTCTAGGAGCAAGTCCACTGGTTTCCAAAAGACAAAGGCAAGGGCTGCTTAATTATCCAAAACACATAAAAAAGTGCTCCAGCATGCCATTTTTGGAGTGCTATTCGTAGGCTCCACCAAGCTTGTTGGGTTGGTCAACCAACTCGTGTTAGGCCTTGAGCTTAGCGTGACGTCAGCAAGTGGAAGGCATGCACCATAATCTGGAGGCAGATTGTCTGCCCTCCTATTATGGTGCCCTTCCCATCCTCTTCTATTTGTGTGGTCACGGTTAAGTCACGTCAACATTTTATATTGATTTTTTTTATAGAGATAACAAGATAAAAAGCAATAGGAATATAAAATGTTGACGTGACTTAACCGTAACCACACAAATAGGAAAGGATAGGAAGGACATCATAACAGGAGGGCAGACAATCTGCCTCCCCATAATAGATGCTAGCCAGCATAGCCCAACGGCTGTCTACCCCTCGTGTCCTGGGTTGTTGGTTTCGAAGGTTAAAAAAAATTGAAAATCCCATCATTATGCCACATGGTATAATCTGGTGTGCTGATTTCAAAACAATTTAGAAAATCAACGAGCATAATTCAATAGTAAAAAATACTAAAAAATTTTAACCCAATCTTCTTCATTCCTCATACCACAACTTAATATGTATTGTTATTGCAATCTCCTTAAAACACACTAACACTTAGTACTACGGTTTAGTGTATTCCTCTTCATTGGTAAGTAAGATGTCTTAGGTTCGGTTCTTACTAAAGGCGAATTTGAACCACTTTATTGATAGCTCATTGTGAGACTTAGCCCACTCTCCCACCCTTTTAGTGTAAATTATGTCGTTTATTAAAAAAATAACACACTTACAATTAAATGCACAACACAAATAGAAGATTGGGTGAGGGCGCGTGGCTCTACTTGAATGGTCGAGAATCTTAGAAATATTATTAATAGATCATGATGTGTGGCGTCATGAAAATGGTTGAAAATCTCATCGAAAATCTAAGGCAATAATGACGCATGGAGAATAACACCAACAAAGTATACAAAATAAAAATATGTATTTATGAATAGTAATCGCTCTAAACCCTTACTTAATAGTGGAGTTTCACAAAGGTAATTATTATTGAGAGTGAATAGTAAAGGCAATTCAACTTCCTTGTCATTACCGTCCTAAAACGAGGGTTTAGTATGTTTGAAAGGGACAATTCATTTCAGAGCAGTTCCACCGGAGGTGGAATAGTTTGGCACCCAGTGGAAAAAACAAGCTGGGACTTAGCCAATTCACTCTAACTTGTGGAATAGACTGGCACCCAGCCCAAGCCAGTCCACGGGCCGGCCTAAAATCAACAGAGGAAGGAGACGGCTCATTTGACGCCATGTTGACATCATAACTACCGTCTCTCTCATCCGGAACCCCATCTGATGCCTGGAACCCGATCCTTAGAACCTTATCAACCCCCTTCCCCTGATAAGTCCATATATTCAACACCATGTCCCCCTTCCCCTTGCGAGCTCTGGCGAGGAGACGACGACGGGGTTGCGCTGCCTTATGCGGAGGAGGAAGCAGTCGCCGAATTTCTTGGCGAGGTCGGTGAGATTACGGTGGTTGAGGTCGTCGCTGACCTAGAGCCAGTTTCCAAAAACGGGTACGGGTATGAGACTAGACGGGAGCTTGAATTTCTTGCCACGGAGAGACCCAGAAGGTTCTCTTCCAGGAAGAGGAGGTCCATTTTTTGGGGAGCGTTGGTGTGGTGAATAGTTTGGTGGGTGTACGGAGCGTTGGTGTGGTGAGGAGGAGGTCCATTTCTAGAAGAAGAAGGGAAGAAGAAGTCAGAAAGTAAAAAACCAAATTATTATTTTATAATAAAAATTAATAATATTTTAATAAAATTGACTAGGCTATTCAGTTTTAGGGGTGGAGATGCATTGGTCTATTATTGTTCATTAGAGTCTATCACTGTTCACTGGAGTGGATAAATGGGCTGGATGTAGGGATGGGCAAATACCCATTGGTTATGGGTAACCGCGATTACCCGCTCATTTAAATTAAACGGTTACGGTTATGGGTAACCGTTTAGATAAATAAACGGTTATGGGTATAACCGTTTACCCGCGAAATTTAAATGGGCGGTTATGGGTATTAACCGCGGTTATAAACGGGTAATCGTTTACCCATTTATTTTATATATGTAAAACTAACACAAACCATGTTCTCGATCCAATAATACTTAGCACCCAATAAATTAGCAAGGAATTCATCGGTCATTTTCTCAATAACACTGCTACAGGAATGATGATTCTCATCATCAAGGAATTCGCCAAATTAATTTAAATTTCTTGCGGGTAACCGTGAAATTGACAAAAATGCTTTGACAAAAATGTCTTCTAAACAATTTTTGTAACCCAATAATACTTAGCAAATATTATATTTACCTTCATTGGTAACAGTTAAAAATATTGTCCGTAAACTATTATTTCAATTATTGGAATGGTATAAGAACTTAAAAAAAATTAAAATACAGAAATATATGATGAATATACCTATAACAGTGTTTACTTGTCAAAAAAAAAAGTATGACAATTTTTTTTTTAAATTTTCAAGTTGTTAAAAAGCATGTAGACGGTTGAAAAAAGGGTAATGGTGAAAAAAAAAGATAAACGGGTTAAAAATGATAAATGGGTAAACGGGTATTAAATGGTTACGGTTAAATGGGTATGCGGTTATGAGTATGGTTAACCATTTATAAACGGTTATGGGTATGGGTATAACCGTTTAAGCAATTACCCAACGTGTAAATGGTTATGCGGGCATAAGCATAAACGGTTATGGGTAAATAACCGCGGTTACCCATCCGCCATAACCGTTGCCCATCCCTAGCTGGGTGCTGGCACAAGTCCTTAGGGGTGGACTTGCTCTCAGAAATCTACATTTTTGTAGCTCACATTTTCTGTTTTGCGTCTCTCCAAGACTAAGTAAATTTTGGAGCTCTTGACACGAGGCATGGCGGCATAATCTTCTCTCATCAGAATAGAGACTATTCTTTGTAAATTTAATTGATATCTTTGGATGTGTTACATTAGTATTCTTCCACTGTGCATAATTAGGTTCTTTGATTGCATTACAGGTATTATTAAAGGTTCATTAAACTCTCAGAGCACTCTAGTCTTATTTTAATTTCGGACTTTAATTTATTTGTTATTTTTACATATCACTTACTTATATGATTTCGTCACTTTTTGAGTGTCGACCAGTATGCCTCGATTTTGGTGTTCATGTGGATATTCGAGTCCAGATGTGCCACACGTTGGCATGTGTGGCTTCTTGTTATTGCTCTAGAGATTTCCCATATCATTTTTCCTAGATATGGTTTATTTTGAGAACGTTGACAATTCTGTCCTATGTAAATTCTTGATCATTTTAATAAAATTTTATCCAACTAAAAGAATGATATAAATCATCATGACGACTACAAGCTTACTATTAACTTCAAATTTGCAAATTCACAATGTATAAAATAATTCCAAGATCATCCAAAATACATCCACACATTCACATGTATATACTACCCTATTTGAAAATTTCAAATAACTTGACGAGTAAATGCATCAGAAATGGCTTGACAAGTATACTGAAAATTGGTAGAAAAGAGTAAGAAGTATAGCCACTATAACTTGTTGACCAAGCGAAATAGTATTTTCCTTGCTGCTTTGGAAGTTTGTAATGAAGCTTGGAGGAGAATAGAGGAAAGCCATTGAAATACATTCCTCCTCACCTTTAAAGATTGGCCTTCCAATCACATGCTTATACTGGCTGCCACTCCATGCCTTTTAAAAGAAGAAAGAAATTCAATTAGCTTATTTGAGGACACCTCAAATTGCATCATTTTATTTCTAAGCAATCTATACACGCACAGATGTACAGTCTACTTCTGTTGAGGGGTCTCTCAAATAAGCTTAATTGAGGGACACCACTTTCCATAATTTTTTTAACTATGCAAACTGTCAATATTTTAGTACATTATTCATAGATCATCTTTGCAAAAACTCAAACAAATGCAAAACCACTAAAACATCCAATTGTATTGAAGAAAATAGATGAATACGGTTTTTCAAATAGACATTGTACTATTCTTCAATCCAAAGGTCAAATGGTTTCGGGGTTGAGTGATTTTTGGTATAGATAATCTTTGAGTAATGACTTAAAACATAGATAACTGAATCGTTGAAATACGATATGGAGTGAGTCTTACAAAAAATCTCCAATAAAATAATTTGAGGAATCTATATATATGTGTGTGTGTGTGTGTTTGGAAAATATTTCGATGAGGGCATCTCTGAACAGGTGGCATTAGATATAAATCACAAAATATAATGATGGTAGAAGGTACAAATGTTCATGATGGTGGGCTTGCAGCCATCAAATGAGTTGCTACAAAGCGAGGGAATACCCGACTTTATTGCAACTTTTAGACACTAAAAGCAAATATATTCAGAAACTTTGAAAACAATGTAGCATATAAACTAAAGCAATATATGCCATTTAGGAGACCAAGTAGTTATAATGTTGGCTTTATAATTAGAACTTTGAATTATATACATAATACACAGTAATCCAAAGTTAATTTAATTACCTGTATTTGGTCCCCAGTGGTGACTATTAGGGCATTTTGAACTGGGATAAAAGAAACCCAACCTTTCTTGGAGTAAACATGGAACTCTGAAGAACCATCACAGATATGGAAACACAAGGCATGAGAGTAATCAGTCCCTCTAATCAGCATCTTAATCACATCATATCTCAGAGACCTATCCCATTCATCTTGTAACACATTCTGGCTATGCTTGTACAAGCAACAAACCGTCCCAACTTCTTTCCTTTGCACCATTTCATCATTTTTGCTTTCTCCATGAATGATTTTTTCTTGAGAATTAATCAACAAGCTTAGTAGAATTTTCTCACAGACCTTCTCAATATTTGTCATAAGGGTCTCTAGTTTCTCACTGCACAGCAAAAAGTTTGGGATTGTAACATTTCGTCCGATCAATCGACATGCTTTATTTTAATGAAAAAAAAATGTTAAAATCAAAATCAAATAAAATTTTCCACAATTGACTGACTAGTTACGTTAGTTTAATAATATTTCTCTTCCTAGTATGGAAGTTAGTCACAAGTTGGAAGTCTGTTCTGAACTTCTGATAAAAAATTAATATTCTTTAAAACCGGCAGTTATAAATACCTGAAATTTGAATATCCAATTGGGGCAATTCCATCCATTGCCAACTTCAAGCCTTGGTCTCTACACCAAACAAACTCTTCACTCAATACATTGTCAGCCTCCTCAGCATGAACTTCCTCGAACCCGTATGGCTTCTCCGGTGACCTAGTAACCTCCGCCCTCTTCTCCGGTGACACGCTAAAGATTCCCGTGGCGGCAGCCTGCACTGACCCCACAAGCTCACTTGAAATTCCATGGTTCACCAGCTGAAAACATCCATTTCTTGCTATGGACTCCACCACCTTGCAAAGACTAGCGTCACATCCATCCGAATTCAGGGCTGCAAAATCAATTGTGGGAGGATTGTTTTCAATAGATACTTGCTTGGGGAAGAACTTGTCTGGCAAGATGAGGTCAGGGACTTGGAGGGAGTGCTCGAGGAATTCGGTGAGGACTTCATCGTTTGCGATTGATGATAGGCGACCAGAGGCAACGGGAGAAGGCGGCGGGGCACGAAAATCAACAGGGTTTTCGGAGATTGGTTCCGGGGAGGTTGCCATTGGGATTGGAAGGTAGAGAGGTGAGTGATGGAATAAGCTCACTTGTTCTAGTTCTTGTGCACAACGACATATCATGCTATATATGTATCTTTATTTCTTTATTTTTTTGCTAAAGAAAAAGAAAAGCGGAAATATTCTACTTTGTTAAGGAGCAGCAATGATGGCATGTCTGGGGCTTCACCTACATCCCAAGAACGATCAATGATCACCCACAAGGTCTTTCACTTTTTAGTTTTGCTTTTCTTTTTCTCACTTTCTTTACAGCTCCATTGTTAATATTCTCTCTCATAAAAGGAAAATATTCAAATGGTGAAAGGTGTACATGTTAGGGATGGTTCGGTTTCAATCGGCTCAGTTTTTGCCGAAATCGAAAATCGATAAGAAGTTATTGTTTGATTTTTTTTACGGTTTAGTTTGACTTTAATTCGGTTTTATCGGTTCAGTTTGTGTTGGGTTCGGTTTCTTTTTCTTCTTTTGAAGCTAAACATTTCAAAATTTACATGTACGAAATCATATGTTTTTCATCATGAAGACTGATACTGCATCATTGGCAGATGGACTAAGGAGCAAGGGGTCAGCTGACCCCGAACTTCAATAAATATTTATGGATAATTTGGATGCTGTCCCTTTAAAGATTGGAGTTGAATATATACATGTCCTTCAATTGTTTGATAAAATGCTTGAAAGAAGAGTAGCTGTTCTTATTATTATTTTTTTAAATATTACTTGACCAAAGCGATGTCATTTTAGGCAAGTTGGTTTAATAAAATAAGAAAACACCAACAACCAAAATTATAATAATGGTTATGTGTATTTGCTAATTATATTGCTTTGGTTTTACTGGTTACTACTGCTTCAGTAGAGAGCTATTTTTGCTATGAATATTGTGAAGAGTCTATTGGGTAACTGTTGATCCAAAAACTATCTACTTACGTGGCTTGCAGACCGATTAATTAATAAGCTAATTACGTCATTCGGTTGAATGTGGGGCATGTTAACTCGTCAGCCGAGTTTGGCCGGGGAGTAAAATATGTTGATGTAGCATTGGGCGGGCTGCTGACTTCTTGATCTCACGACTGCGGCTGAGGAAGAAACCTATCTCGGCCTTCAGGTTCTAGAGCCTGAAGATAAGGCTGCTAGTTATGCAAAGTTCAATATCAAATTCTTCTTTCAATGTGCCGAATGTAGTAACTTGGTAACACCTCACTTCCTCGAGAAGGCTAATGAGATGACCTCTTCCAACAAGGACTCGAAAATCTTATTAACCAAGACTTTGATAAATAACCAGTCGGTCTTGAAGTAGTGCTGTTTATCAAAACTGAAGGTTATTCAAATTGAAGTTGTTGCTGGCTGCCTTCACAAAGCTGTTTATCAAAATTGAAAATATGTCGGCGGGAAAAAAAAAATAAAAATCTCAAGGTGTTTGAGAGGTTTGCGCAAGGTAGTTGTGTGTTGAATTGGAGGGGCTTTGAATGATGCATCCCACTCTCCATTTATGGTAGCGATTTCCCAAATAATCGAACTAGAATATCACTCAGACTGAAATTCCTCATCCCAATCTGATTCGATCTCGACCAATCGTAACCTCTATGGGACTTTGAACCAAGCTCTTTAATCAATCGGATTCATCCCTTGAAGTTCGACATCTGCTCTGACTTAGAAGTTTTTTAAACTCCAGAGAGTCCCTCTTGTATTAGGATTCAACCATTTCTTCTTTATTGAGGTGGAAATCACATTCTAATAGACCTTGACCGAACTCTACTGGGCTCAACCCATGGTAGAATATTCTTGATACTCCTAATTGGACTGAAAACCCTGGGCTTGGCCCAAAATGATATTTTGGGCCCAAATAGTAACCAAATAGAAGATCAATAGTTGAGTGATAGCATGATAGTTTACATTGAGAGCAGTGTTTTTTCTTTCATTGATAATGAAGGTATAATTAAACGTTTTCAAAATATAAAAACGTTTGTTAACTATTGTAAATTGTATTGTTATTTGTTCTACAAGTTATGAATAATTGAACTATAGTTTTTAAGGTAATTATGTGTCTAAGAAATGTTTGTGAACTTTTACACGTGACTCTCCAAATAATTTTTCTTAGATCCACCACTGTACTACATCACATTCCTTTGAAAAAGCAAAAAATAAAATCAAAATTGTACAAAAATGCAAGTGCCACGGACTATCAACTAAAGAACCTAAAATGCAGTGGAAAATGCAATGGGAGCTGAACTGCCCTATCAACTAACTAAAGGCAGAATAAGAAGTTCTCAGTCATACAATTTGTAAAAATTTGTTGAAATTCTCAAAATACGAAATACCGAAACTAAAGGCATCACGCTACTTTCCTACTTGTAATAATTCATAGAGCACTGAGGCTCATTTCATCTACTCCAAAATTTTAATTTGTAAATTAGAGTTTCAATACGAGTTCCTGTATGTAATTGAAATGTTTTAATAACTTTTTTTATTTATCTACGTGGCACAATGATTATCACATCAGTAAAAACTTGGGACCTTCAGTTGTCACATTATTACTTAACGGTTAAAATGAGGGTTTGACTAACAAATGTATGAAATTGCAACTACATGCAATTTTGTGTATGAAATTAAAATGTTTTAAAGATGTTCTATGAGATTGCAATTGCACTCAAACCTAAGGGGTAAAATGTAATTTAACCAAAAAGAAGCTTCGAAAATTTGAATAAAAACGTTGAATTAGTAAAGAAATTGCACAAATTAGCTTATGGGCATTACAAACAGTGACTTACCTTGGAGAATCGGCGTCGAGGACTGTAATGGCGAGAGGAAACTCATGAGGATGACTTGTGACTGGTGAGGTTCGGACGAGAGTGAGTGAGAGTCTAAAGGTGTTGACTTTTGTATTTTAGGTAGGATCCCTAATTGATATGTAATCCCATGTAATCACTTGTAATTAGTTCTCTTTCCATTTATGTTAGGGTTGTACACCAATAAGTACCTCTTATTGAGAAGAATATACACCAATTCAATTTTCTTCTTGGCACCAGAGCCTAGGTTAAGGAAAAGAAAAAAAAAGCAAGAAACCATGCACCAGTTGTGCTGCACCGTCCGACCAGTGAGCGACGTCGTCGTTGCTGACCCGAGTCCACCACGCCAATCCCGTATCCATCACGATCCACTGCTGCATCATGCCTAGATCGAAGCTTGCGTGCCCCATAGCTCACGAACCAACATCGAATCACTGCTGCTGCAATACCGACACCAACCCAGTTGTTGATCCACTGCTTCTACTGCTAAATCGACGGGAGCACCTCGCCTGAAATCATTGTTGCACAAACCAATCTGACTGAAATCAATTCGAACCACGTCATCATCTTGATCTAAATTCGCACCTGCCATTGCATTTTACAATTGAAGTTGAACCCGTTGTTGCATCCCATCCTATCTGCACCTGCGCTTGTTTCGAAAGCCCCAAAGAGAAAGAAAGGAAAATAAAAGGAAAAGGAAAAGGAAAAAAAAAAGAAAAAAAGAAAAAAAGAAAGAAAAAATAGAAAAAGATATGAAACAAAACGAGTTTCTTTGAGCTTTAAGTTTTTGGCCCACGGTTTTGCATTCGAGACTTTTCCAAGTTTCTTGCAGTTTTTTTTCTTTTGCAGCATGGAAGGTTGTCCCACTTTTCACTTGAAGCCACACCATTCACTTTTCTTCACTCTACAATTTAATGGCTTGCGATGAGATCCAACCAAAGGAAGATATTCCGACTCTTGGTTCGTTTACCGTCCACCCAACAAGTGCTCTCACTGTAGTTCGAAAGGGCATTCAAAAGATCATTGTTTCGAACTTATTGGCTATCCTGTTAATTGGGACTAGACTTGTGATCCCCGGTGTAATAAGTCACGTGTATTGATTGCTGAAACTAAGGTACATTTTGAACATACAGGTTGTTGATGCACAAAACCGGAGGTCTTGGAACAACGTAAATTCGACCGTGAATCTGCAAGTAATGTAAATAACACAAGATGTATCGTGGTTCACCCCAAGGTTTGGGCTACGTCCACACTGATTGTATTGTATTTCTCTGAGAAGTAAAGGAAAGAGTGTGAGAGCTTTGCTCTAGATAGGAGAGACTTAGGGTTTGTGAGGGTGAGGAGACCCTTTTATAGAATAGAGGCTCCTCCCCTAATTACATATTTGCCCTTTCCTTTATTACATAATTACATTTAAGTCCCCCGAGTATTCATACGAGGTCTAAATACGAGGCCCTAAATATGGTATAAACAGTAGTCCCCCAAGTCTTCAGTCAAGAGAGTCTTTTGGTTGGAGATTTGAAATTTAGTCCATGTGTGGGCCGAAGTAACTAGATGCTGTCTAGAATTGATGCTCGATATGAGGCAGTGCTCAATCTAAAATGACGCTCAACTAGAAGTAGCACACGCTACGAGGCTACTCGGCTTGTGGCTTATGTTGTCTTGGTTGGCTCGGCTTGCGGCGTTTGAACGTGAGGGAGTCCCTTTTATAGAATAAGGGCTCGTTCCTCAATACATGAATGATGGGCTAGAGTTGATGCTCTTTAATGATGGTGAGGGAGTCATTTTTATAGATAAGGGCTCGTTCATCACTACATAAATGATGGGCTAGAGTTGATGCTCGCGGCGAGGCGGTTGCTTAGTAGGCGGCGATGCTTTCTAGTGGTGGTGAAGGAGTCCCTTTTATAAAATAAGGGCTCGCTCCTCAGTACATGAACAATGGGTGCTCTCTAGTGAAAGTGAGGGAGTCCATTTTATAGAATAAGGGCTCGCTCCTCAATACATAAGTAATGGGCTAAGTCCCCCAAGTATTTTTCATGAGGCCCAGTTGAGGCCCAATATGTGGTACATAATGTAGTCCCCCAAGTCTTTGGTCAATAGAGTCTGTTAGCTAGAGACTTCAAATTGAATCCATGTATGGGCCGAAGTGGCGGTTGTTCAGATGCAGTATTTGTATACCATGCACTGAAGCTTTGTAGGTGAAGCTTTGCAAGTGAAGCTTTGAAGCTAGAGCTCTGTAAATGAAGCTTTTGAAGCTGATTGACATGAGTGATGCTCATGAATGTTT